TTTTTCATATTCTAAAATACCTATTCCAAGAAAATGTCTGAAGAAAAGTGGTGCTTTTTTCTTATTTTCCCACTACACCAATTTTCTTCTCTACCTCACACATGAGGTTTATTATAAATATAGTTATTTTTAATAAACTATATTTATTATAGAATGTATACATTTTGCTTGTGAAAGGATTACAAAAATTTCCCTGGCTTTTTTTCTCAGCCATCATGGTGTGTGCACTTGACTTTGTTCCTTGCGATATCTTCTCAGAAGACATTTCAGATCAAACAATTCCCAGCCAATAAACAAAAGCAAAATTGCCCCTTCTCTAATGGATTCAGAAAAAAACTAGTAATAAAACCAGGAACAACTCCAAGCAGAGTCTTTGGAAAAGAACCAGGCTGCATCTATAAGGAATTGCACATGAAACGGCATACATCTTTATGCTGCATTGAGGTCACTAAAATTTTACTGGATTAATCTGAAAGTGATACCACTGCCTGGAAAGTTGGACATATTTTTTTGTGGGGGCGGGGGATATGATTTCTTTTGTTTCTATGCTCTGTCCCAGTAGGTTGGTTGAGTAATAAATATGTGAAAACTTTAAAAATGTCACTCTATATGGAGTACTTCACATTAAATTATGTCCTTGGAGTTACCTCAGTGCACTTACAATGTTGGAGATGGAAATAGGGAGAAAGTAAAAGGTGGTGCAAATGGGAAGAGCAACCTTGAGAACAGGTTGCAGAGTCAGGATGGAGCTCAGTCAGGAGCCCTGCATGAACAGTGTTGGTTGGGGGTTGTTTATTTCTCACCAACTCCTTTGTTCTAACCTCTCCTAATAACAACCATGGAATTCAAGAAAGGGGCTGACTCTCTCTTTTCATTGAATGGTTTAAATTTTGCTCAATTGATCCAGGTATTCATACAGCCATTGATATCTCACAGGGCATGACATGGGGCATAAGTGGACTCCATGATGGGCTTTATGAAATTGATTTTTAAAACTGCTTAAGCCTTCTGATTAGACAAGTGTATTTAAACTTCTGTTTTACTAAGGTATCAACCTTAGATAGTACCTTATATAGGTCTTGGAGATAATGTTTTCATTTTCTGAATTTCCAACTGAATAAGAGATTAGACATTCTTTTTCTTCTGGAACCCTAGATATAGGAATAGGATTTTAATATCCTCAATAAAAAGAGCACGCCTCATATTTAATTGCATTTTTGTCCTTTTTTAGCACTGGAAACTAAACCCAGGGGTGCCTTAACACTGAGCTATGTTACAGCCATTTTTATTTTTATGTGATCATATAAAAGAGCATTTTGATTCTTGTCCTTAGAAACTATAAAGACTATACATGATTTAGAAATGGGACTGTACCAAACAACAGCCAAGAAGAATCATCCATTCTATGCCTTTTATTTTGTCTGGTCACTCAGAAATATAATGTTATCATCTATGATTGTTGTTGCTTGTCACCTCACATTATTTTTATTCATTAATTCACCATAGTCTACTTTCCCTTCCACATAAATTTAAGAACCCTTTTCCACATACTGATATGGTATATCTCTAAGGCCCGGCTGAACACTGATATTCTATGCCATGTTGATTTTAACTGATATTACCCATTTGGAATTCTTCACTCTCCCATGATTGCCACTCTCATTCGTTGGTAGAGAAAATATTGTTACTGGATTTTTCCCTTCTGCCTGTCTCAGGACTGAGCCCTGACCCACTTGCCCAAGTAACTGCATGCAATTCAGAGCTGTAATAGAAGTCTTCAAAACATGGCTTCTATTTTCTTTTCTTACAATTAACATTTTAGCCTTTCCTAACTAGCCTGGGAAACTTATTATTCATTTTGAGACAGGGTCTCACTAAATTACCTAGGCTAGCCTGGAATTTGCAAGCCTCCTGCCTTAATCTCCTGAGTAGCTGGGAATACAGGTGTACACCACAGTACCTGTCTCCCTTCTATTTTTTAAAAAATATATTTAGTTGTAGATGGGCACAATAACTTTGTTTATTTAGATTTTTTTTAATGTGGTGCTGGGAATCAGATCAAACCCAGTGCCTCATGCATGCTAGGCAAGCGCTCTACCACTGAGCCACAAACCCAGCCCCTCCCTTCTATTTTTGACTTTGCTTTATGCCCACCATTGAGGATGGAACATAAATGTGCACATCTTGATAATGTTCTCTGAAAACCCCATGATGTGCTCACTTTCCAATTTAGGCTAGTGTTTTCTCCTCCTCATTCCTGTGTCTTACAGCTTCTATAACTCCCATACTTCCCCTAGGGAGGCCCTGCAGAACTCCAAAATGTTTCAAGAATGCTTTTTCCCCCTTCTGTATTTTATCTAGTTATTTCAAAATTAATTGATTTTTTGCAGTATTGGGGATTGAACTCAGGGGTGATTTACCACTGAGCTATTGGAGAGCATTTTGAGAAAATGCTAGGTATTTCAAAATCAATTGATTTTTTTGTAGTATTGGGGATTGAACTCAGGGGTGATTTACCACTGAGCTACATCCTCAGCCCTTTTATTTTTTATATTTATTTATTTGTTTTTTTGGTACCAGGGATTAAACTCAGGGTCACTTGACCACTGAGCCACATCCCCAACCCTATTTTGAATTTTATTTAGATACAGGGTCTCAGAGTTTCTCAGCCCCTCATTGTTGCTGAGGCTGGCTTTGAACCCCTGATCTTCCTGTCTCAGCCTCCTCAGCCATTGGGATTACAGGTGTGCACCACTGTGCCTGGCTTACTTTCTATTTTTAGACAGGGTCTCACTAAGTTGCCCAGGCTGACCTTGAACTTATGATCTTCCTGCTCCAAGAAGCTTCGATTACAGGTGTGTGCCATCATGCCTGTCAATATTTCATAATTTAGATGAACTGACCTGAGGATAGGACTGTTCAGTCTTCTTGGTACTTAACTATTCTTACAAATTAATCAGCTGGCAATCTGGCTTATAGAACAGCTTTACAAGCTTGGTCATTATAACCCTACCTCCTGATGTAATTTGAGTGTGATGATCAATACAAGTTTTGAGTGTGCAAAACTTTAAACTGATGAATTCACCAAAATCATGCTTCTAGTTTGCTAGTCCTAGAGACATTCTTCACTATTGCTATGTAAGACACTGAAAAAGCAGGATTTGATCTGTAACTGAAAAAATGAATTCAAGAAAGGAGAATGTGATTATTCCAATTAGCTTTGGAATTATGGAAATGTAGAAATGAAAAAAAAATTATCATTCTTTGTTTGATGCTATCAAACTGATAGTATAACACCAAATTGGCAAACATGAAAATGGTCTACTTGACAAACGGTTCTTAGGATGAAAATGAGGATTGGTGAAGTTTGCTAATTCAACTGACTAAGCATTTATTGAACATCTACTAGGTATGAGGCATGTATTTAAGTGCTATGAAACAACTGAAGATCCTTTTGAAATTGGTTCTAAAACCTATCAATTTCCTTTTCTCTGGTAATGTAGTTGCTAAGCAACTTTCTCATATTAACCTGGCTTCTTGTGGGGGAGGTAATACATAAACAGCAGTAGCACATGACCATTACTTTGCAAGTTCTAGTAAGGGGCAGAATCACATTGGCATTCTGATTCCAATACATGAGTTCCTTGAGTCATCGTGTGCTGGATCAGTTGCTGAGTTCTACAAGCTGAAGAGATAAAAAGCTAGATGCTGAGGCAGAGGACATGGCTTATCAGTGGATCTTTCTTGGGCTCCTAAATTTGCTTAAGGAATCTTGGGGCATTCTATAACCCACTAACTAGACCAGCATATCCAAATACTGGGCAAACCTGATGGCTAGGACTTTCAGGTAGGATGACTTTGATAAAATCAGATCAAGGCATATACTTTGGTTAGAACAGAAAGGCAAATACTTTGCCTGCCTTTTCTCATTAAATACTAGTCTAGACAGAAGGGAAATTTGAATGTAGACATATGGAAAAATAAAATGATAGAGATATATGTGGATAGGAAGCATAATTCAATAGACATAGTGTTGAGAAGAAACTAAGAGAGGGAGATGAATATGGATAGGTACGATACAAAAATGATTTGCTTGTGTTTTTATTGTGGGGCTGCCAGCACCCTGCCAGGGTAGTTTTCTGCTCAGGAGGTGATGAGTCACCTGAGAAAAAGAAAGTCCGAAATAATTAGTTAAGAATTAAGAGCCAGAGTCAGAAAATAGATTCTAATGGAGTACCTGATAGGTTCTCCAGTCCTGGTAGGAGCTGGAACCAAACAACTAGAAAATGGCTCCAGTCCTTTATTTAAGGGAGAGTACATCAAAGGCAGGGATAAGATTTCAGCAGGTGGAGTCTTCCTTCATGGTGTCCTGTAGTCAACATGTTGATTGGCATCTTGGCAAGCCACACCCATCTCTGAGAGGCTATGTGTCTATGTGGCTCCAGTGGGTCACGCCAACTCCAGTGCAGTGTTGAACTGGCAGAGCTAGATAGGATATCACATGTACTGGGTCATCTCAGACCGGCAGGAGTTCCGCTGTGAGTTCCTGGATACCAGACTTTCCTACCCAGTGGTTTCCTTGCAGATTTGGTTCATGTACAGTTCATGGATAGCTTCTGGCAGGTTTTCATATGCAGTTAATAATAGATGATTTGATTTCATCAAATTATAGAAACATTAAGAAAATGCAAGTAAATTTGCTTTCTTTAGAATCATACAGTACTTTGCAGAAATACAAGGCATAATAAGTAATATGTGGACAATAGGGACAAAGAGAGTGAGACAGAACTGTATAGGTAAATACCTTCTAAGCCTTCGATAACACACATCTGCCCTGTTATCTGTAGCCCACAGTGGGATTTCTGGTAAATATAGATTGTATCAAATAACACTAACCATGAACCAACAGTTCAGGGCTGTCAGGGACATGCCTTGATTTACTGGGGTTAGTACTCCTCATGCTCATCTGTCCAGAGAAATAATGAGAAAAAGTGTGCAGAAATGAAGAGATAATAAATAACAAAGGAGTTTCCTCGTCTCTCAGCCAGCTTCTCTTCCTTTCCCCAGCAGCCTTCTCAGGGATCCCTTCACTTCTTTATTCCTTAGAGTATAAATGAGAGGATTCACCATGGGTGTGACCACAGAGTAGAAGAGGGAGATGAATTTGCCCTGGTCCTGGTTGCTGCTCTTAGCCGGAAGCAGATACCCATAGATGGCTGAGCCATAGAAGAGGAACACCACTACTAAATGGGAGAGGCAAGTGTTGAAGGCCTTTCGCCGTCCCTCCACAGAGTGGATTTTCAGCACTGCCTGAGCAATGAAGCAGTAGGAGATCAGGATGATACTCAGTGGGACTGCAGTGAAGAAGGTGCAGACACCATTGAGCACGGCCTCATTGAGACTTGTGTCTCCACAGGCCAGCTTGATCATGGCGGGCACCTCACACAGGAAGTTGTCTACCCTCCGGTGTCCACAGAATGGGAGCTGCAGAGTAAATGTGGACTGGATTACAGAGTTACCCAAGCCCCCCAACCAGCTCACAGCAGCCAGCAGCCAGCAGAGCCGAGGATTCATAATGGTTGTGTAGTGCAGGGGCCGGCAAACTGCCACATAGCGGTCAAATGCCATCACCACAAGTAGGATGCACTCAGTAGCCCCCAACCAAAGGAAGACATACAGTTGGGTCACACAGCCACCATAGCTGATGGACTTGTCTGGGCCCCATAAATTGATCAGCATTTGGGGGACTGAGCTGGTAGTAAAGGCGAGGTCCAGGGAGGAGAGATTGCTGAGGAAAAAGTACATGGGTGTGTGTAGCCGGGCATCAAGGCGGGAAAGCAGGATGATGGTTGAGTTCCCAACAAGGGTCAGCATATAAGAGAAGAGAATGATTATGAAAAAGATCATCTCCAGCTGGGGATGGTCAGAGAGACCCATCAGAATGAAGCGCTCTGAGGAGCTGTTGCTGCCCCCTTCCATCACTGGTTGCCTTCAGTCACTGGAAGACTCTGTTCAGGGAAAACTGCTGCGAGAAAAGCAAGGGAAGAAGAAGCTACTGGTGGGTCTGCTCAGGAAAGTTCCAGTGGTTATCTGGGCTCTACGGTTATGGACCAGCCCAACTTCTATGATTGCAGTCTTTAACTGTAACCCCCAATAACTTGTCCATCACATCTGAATGTCAAATATGAGCTGGCACAGGCATGAAGACAGAACAATGAGATTAGGGCTCTTCAATTCAGAACAATGGTTACAACACATCAGAGGGAGCTGTTAGAAATAAATACACATGGAAATTCTCAAAATAAAAATTTCCCCAGCCAAGCTTTGATATGCTCAGGAAAGGGAAAGCAGACACACTGAATTCGGAAAAGCTCCCCAGAAGTTTCTGATCAGTTTCCTTTCCCTTCTTTGCTGTCCCTCTCATCTCAGGTGAAAAATCCTAATCTAGAAAGCTAAAGTTGGAGGAACAACATGATGAATCTATAAAATCATGAAAAGAATGGTAACATTGAATATAGACTCTTTCACCAAATACAGAAGATATGAATATAAGAGTTAAAAGAGGCAAATGTAGAACTTCACAAAAAGCCAAAACAAGTTTAAGTGGAACAGGTTGAAGATATAAATGGGGGTTACCCCAAAAAGAGTTAAATCAGCCAACACATATCCATAATCAGTAAGGAAAACTAGAATATGTCAGAGGAAATTCCTGACCTTTGCCATGTATGACTGCTATGCCCACCTCTAAACCATGGGATAATTCTTAATGTCTCACAAATATGCTCTTGTTAACAATGGACCAATTAGTGTCTCTTTCCTTGGACGGGATATAGGCTTTCCTGAAGATCATAAACCAAGGTCCAACCTCTTCTTTTGACTAACAAATGAATCTGAGAATAAAACAGAAATAGTTTTGAGGGTCATTTGGATATGACAACTGGGAGGGAATGCTGTTTATTTTTCAGCACTGTGGTCCAAAGACAAGAGATGCTACTTAAAGCAGTGTGAGGTTGCAATTAGCTGCTTCTGGTACATGAGGCAGGGGCCACTGGGCCATACCTCTTGGCTAAGAATCCCAGGAATTTTCCTTTTCATTAACACACAGCAAAAATAGTGGAGATCCTGATGCTAGAATCCAAAGGAGTTAAGAAAGGAAATTCCTTTCAAATGTTTGCTTTTGAGTCAGTAGTTGAGTACTTCCACAGAGTCAGGGATAATGACTGACAGAGGGTGTTCCAACCTCCCTCTGACCCCCCCTAAAGGAAGAGAGGATTGCTTATTCTTTTCATCCAGGACCTAAGAGAGCCATGGATTAAGTAACCAGCCTTATAATCAACTCATCTTTCTGTTCCGAAGTTCTTGCTGATGCCTGTCTTACTAATTGCTGCTGGTTGAGGTGCCCAGCCCTTTGAATCCCTTTAGAGGAAAGAAAGACAGGCACTGCTGCCCGTCCTCCCCGCGTTGCTCATTCTGCATGGCTTGTGCTCAATGGTTGTCCAGCAGTGCCACAGTTCCTGTCAGTCCCTGCTTTGTGTCTTCCAAGCAGTTTTTAGCTAAGGAATAAACATGCCAAAATGGGAACAGAAAGGCCATTTCTAGGGTGGAGAAGCTGTTCCATGAGCTCTAGAGGAAGCACCAGACCAACTGGACTCTTGGCCTGAGCTGGACAAATCCCCGAGCAAACACAATGATAACCACAAGCTTGTGTTCATCAACTCCACGGACCTTTGGGGCCTTTTCTTTCCCTTGAAATTTCCTGGTTCTCTCTAATCATCTGGGAGTTTTCAGTTAACCCAGAAGCATTGGCATTTTAGAAAGAGTTCAGAAAGGGTGATACTGAACTTTCCACCCTGCATGGGCATGCAGTTTGGGCATGGAAGCCCAAGGTGGAGGATCTTTAGGAATCACTCACCTGGTACACAGATGGCTCTAACCTTTACCTGTCTATAAGTTTACTTGGGAAGTTTGGGATGTTCCTTCCAGTTAATATTTTCACTGTTCTGATATGATTTTAAACACCTGAGCTTGCTGGAAACAAACAAACTAAATAAATAAACAAACAAACAGACAAGCAAACAAACAAATAAATAATTAAAATTAGAAAGCAGGAGAAGCTGTTACAACTTTGTGAGACTTTGACTTGATGACATAGTGGTAAATTCTTTCTGCTTAGGAATCGACCTGCCTCTAGGCACTGAACTCTGCTTAAGATTTTCTGCATGAGGATTCTGTTCCTAGGGCAGGGTTGTGCATACAAAAAGGGTTTTTTCGATGGTTAGTTTGGGTTTTGTTTTATTTTGATACTGGATATTGAACCCAGGGACATATCACAAGCTACAGCCCCAGTCCTTTTTTAATATATTTTTTGAGAAAGAGAGAATTTTTTAATATTTATTTTTTAGTTTTTGGTGGACACAACATCTTTGTTTTATTTTTATATGGTGCTGAAGATTGAACTCAGCGCCCCACGCATGCCAGGCGAGCACATTACCGCTTAAGCCACATCCCCAGCCCAGCCCCAGTCCTTTTTACTTTTCATTTAAAGACAGGGTCTTGCTAAGTTGCTGAGGCTGGCCTCAGACTTGTGATCTCTTGCCTTAGCCTCCCAAGTACTGGGATTACAGGTATGCACCACTGTGCTAGGCAGGTTGGGGTTTTAAAGTCAGATTAAGAAATACACATCTTGTCTGGGGGCTGTGGCTGTGACTCAGTGGTAATACACTGGCCTGGCATGTGTGAGGCACTGGGTTTGATTCTCAGCACTGCATGTAAATAAGTAAAATAATGGTCTACCAACAACTAAAAATATATTTAAAACAACAACAACAACAAAAGAAATGCCCATCTTGTCTCCTGGATTCTCTTACAAATGACTTTTGTTAAGGGGGTCTTAAGATATTATAAAACTTCTTTCGCCTGTTGGATTTTTTTTTTTTCTTCCCAGTTTGCCTCTTTGCTGATGAAGAAGGTCATGTGTCTATCAGAGCTTGCGGCTCTAATATCACATGGCCCTGCCTTGCTCCTAAAGGAAGAACACAAAGCAGAATATTTGAAAGACCTTTAACACTCTCCCTTTCACTCCCCTTTCCTTGTATTCACTCTCCCTTTGCCTCTCCCTTATGCTCTCTGTTCTTCAATAATGAAATCTAGGAAGTGTTTATGGAACTATACCTTTGGCTTCAGGATTCCCGCATTGTTCCTCTGCCCAATGCTCGGTGTATGGAGAAGGCAAGTGTGGGACTTGGAGCAGGCGTTGTGGGCACTGTCCTCCTGTGCCGAGCAGCTACTGTCGTTGGTCCTGACCCTCTGAGCAGCCTGGGTCTGCTGCCCAGATGCCTGGCTATCAGCAGGGCCCAAGGGGGGGATTTCAGCCCTCTCACCCCTACCATGCAATTAGCACAAAAGGCCCTAGTGGCCAGGACACAGGAAAATGGTGTCCCTGAAGAACACACTTCGTCTTCTACTTGGACTCCCTCCCTGAACACAGAGCACTAATTGATCTAGAAGTAAGAATAGTTGCATTCATTAAATACTCACTGTGTATATAATTTTATTCCTTTCACCTGTTTACATGCTAGCTAACTTAGTTCTTAAAACATTTTTTACAGCAGAGGGGTCAGGTCTATTATCCCCCATGCACAGGAGTGGACCAAGTATGAAGTGACCATGTGACTTGACTGGTGTTAGACAGGTGTGGCCCAGAGGTGGCTCTTGGCACCAGGTAGAAGCCAGCTGTCCTGTGCAAAGGGAGAGACTGTTTTGACTCTTCATCTATAAGATATCTCTTGGAATTTTAGCTCTTTTTGTGGGGTGAGGGCAGAGAAAGGAGGCCCCCTATCTTGGTCCTCACAAAACCATAAATAGGGACATGAAACTTAGATACTATCATACAGTGCTGTATGAAAAGCAAATTTACAACCACTTCTAAACAAATGCATAGGAGGAAGCTGGCAATCTGGTAGGGCATTAGATGTTACAGAAAATGAGTAATCCCCTAAATAGCTGACTTAGAAACCTCATTCATTGGAGAAATAGATACTTACCTGAAGATGTAGCTCAGTGGTAGACTCTAGATGTGGGAGGCCCTAGGTTCAATCCCCAGTGCTGAACAAACAAACAAAAACTGGACCCAAAGAATATACAGTGTGCCAGGTTCTGGAGAGAGGGCATAGGCATTGGCAAGACTGGCCTGATACCTGCCCAGTGGGGCTCTCCTTCCAGTGGGCAGACTCCAAACATTCTCTCATGATGGTAAGCACCACCTGTTAGCTTGTGCTGCATGCCAGACACTGTACTCAGCAGTTCACAAACATGATCACAACCACCATGCCAGATAAACATTATTCTTCCTGTTGTACAAGAGAGGAAATAAGGTTGAGAGGCATTAACTAACTTGACCAAAGGCAAAAGGCTAGTAAATGCAGAGCCTCTAATAGTGGGTCTATTTGACTTCAAATCCATCCTGAGGAGAGACTGGAGAATCTCAATGTCCAGCCGCTGGGAAATTCAGCAAGTCATGGCACCTCTATGAATTCTTGCACATGTCGTTATCATTGGTTCCTGCAAGACTTCTCTTATTTAAATATTTTGTTAATTTTTTTTACTCTATTCCCAATCTCATTGACATTCTTCTCCACACTCCCATAGGTACCTACTCTAATGTGTTTAATATACCAGTGTTTGGATATATATGTATCCTTATAAAATACAAAATTCTGCTTTGTGCATGCAAGTTTTAAAATTTACCTCAATGTACTGTGCCATAGCTCTTTCTGTTTCTTCCCTTTTAATGCCCTTTTTATAGCTTTTCTTTTTAAGAGAGAGAGAGAGAGAGAGAGAGAGAGAGAGAGAGAGAGAGAGAATTTTTTAATGTTTTATTTTTTAGTTTTCGGCAGACACAACATCCTTGTTTGTATGTGGTGCTGAGGATCGAACCCGGGCCGCACGCATGCCAGACGAGCGCGCTACCGCTCGAGCCACATCCCCAGCCCAATAACTTTTCACTTTAAGATATCTATGTTG